TCAGCCTTGATGGGGGAAGATATGGATTTTTTTTTCCTTCTTTCCAATCTTTTCATTCCCACTTAGTGTTTATATCTAAGTGGAAACTCAATGACATATTGCAAACTCGGTGACCTGAACAGTGTAGCAGTGGATGTCAATTAAGAGCACTGGACTCATGAGTCACCGTGCACCTGCATTAACACAGATAATGAGGCTGAGGCACTTAATGAACTGGACTGTACCGGGACTCTATTGTAACATTTATAATTGGATGATGTCTATTTTTGGAAGCTTTTAGCATATTGCAGGTTAGAAGTCAGTTTGGTTATTTGCATAGAACCATTTTACAGAGTGGGATGATTATTGACACTCTATTTCCCAAGTTTGTTATTCATTTGTAATTTACATTGCATTCAGACTGATAATGGTTTAATTTGGGGTCATTTTAGGGGCAGCCCATTCATTCAATTTATTTTCTTTTCGGCTTAGTGGGGTCGCCACAGCGGAATGAACCAGATAAATGAACTTATTCAGTATATGTTTTACACAGTGGATGCCCTTCAAGCTGCAACCCATTACTGGAAAATACCCATACATTCTCATTCACACACATACAGTATGGACAATTGACGCTTCACTTAGCCCTGCCCTCCTTAGTTACTGTTGTTACGCCTGTCAAGCTTCGTGCCTGGCACGTCTATTACAATATGTATGAGGTGGTGTCAGACATTGCCAGGGATATATTTAGTAATTTTTGGCAAACAGGTGAGATATCTAAGAAAGCCAGGCAAAAAAGGACTGCAGAATGCATTACAGGGGTATACTCACAACATAATAGGCAACTAATTAGAAAATAATTTCATCAAAATTAAAGCTAGGTAAGCCTGGCCACCTCATAAGCTGACCATTCAACAGCTTAGTTTATACACAGCAGGATAGGTGAAATTTAAAAATAATCTATTAATAACAAATTAAACCGCAATTTCCCTTTTTTTTTGCCAAAAAGCCTGATAGATTAATTGTAGAGCAATAAAATATAGTGTTACTAAATGATGAGGAAACACGCATGGACAGTGCTTCTACATCATTCATTCATAGAAAGAGCTGTCAGGAAAAGGTAAATTTATGGATTTGTGCTAAATATTATTGACCCATAACAATGTACAGTACCTAAAACTGTCAGTAAGTTTGTCTGCTTTTTATACAGTTTCTATTCTAATTTGCAGTTACAGTAAGTGGATAAAATTAATAAATTCAAATGCATATCAAAGTATAAATAGCAAAAGATAACAAATAGATTTTTCCTATCAGCAAATATTAATCCAACACCAAATATAAAAGCAGACACTAATCCGCTATAACGTCACCACCAATGACTAAATCTCTAAAAGACGGACAAAAACATCAGTAAATTGTAGCTCTGACATGGGCATGAGGGTTATAAATGACTGAAAAATAGCTGCTGGTGAAATATATTGATCGCAAGTGCTCAGATTGTGATCACATATTGGTTTTGTTCTGTTGATATGTAGTTTCAAATATTCGTAGCTTTAAAAGGTGGAAATATTGTTACTATTAGTATGACCACTATTGCGAGGGCTTAAATGAAGCAGTAGTCATAATATCGAGTCAAAAAAAGAAAAAAGAAAAAAGCAGCTGTGAGACATAACCTGCTTTGTATTTTTGTAGGAAACACAGTTTAGAACTTTTTTGGGTTAGAGGTTTTTGAGTTATTGTCGTCTATCACTGAATATGTCAGGAATATCAATAACAAAACCCACTTAACCTCGCTCTTTTAGCGCCCCTCACACAGCTTGATCCTTGCTGGCAATTCTCCCCTTGGGTTTTATGTTTTCGAATGGAAAAACTTTTCACCACTAGGTCCAAACTTTTAGGATACCGGTATAAGATTTGCACAATCTATATGCACAATGCTTTGGCTTGTTTTATTTGCTCAAAAGCTTGACAGAGCTCCTGCACATCGCTATGGTTGCTAAGCCACAATTGGTGTGTGCCGGTTTTCAGGTTTGGCTAAGCGTAGGGTCAATTTATCTTACCCAGTTCACCTATACCGCACGTCTTTGGACTTGTGGGGGAAACCGGAGCAGGGCAGCACATTATTATTCCAAATATATATTATTCTGTAAATTCTACAGTTGATATGTTAGTATGTTGTTGGTATGCAGTGTTTGGGAAAATTACTTTTGAATGTAATCTATTACAATATTGAATTACTCCCCAAAAAAGTTACTTTGCATTACTTATTAACTTATTTATTGTATGTAATGCATTACGTTTCTTTTGTATTACTTTTGTGTTACTTTTATTACCTAGACAGGACTTATTCATAATTTATTTTCTTTCTTTTTTTTAAATAAAGGAGTTCTGCAATTAACAACGCACTGTATAACCATATTTACATTTACCTTTAAAAAAACACACATAAAAAATAGGATAATTGTAACTGAAAACTTCCTAACCCCAGAGCTAAACATGCCATGCATACAGATTATTGAAAATGTAAAAATAAGTGTTTGCTACTTTTGTAATATTTTCTTAAGTCAAATTTCTTTGATGCATTCAAAATAATTAACACCTTCTCTCAATGACTGATTCTCAATGTGATTCACTGTGACTACTTTAATTTTAATACAGCAATATATTTTTTTGGATTTCAAAAAAGTAACTCAAATATTACTTCTTATTTTTAAAAAGTAATGCATTGCTTTACGCATTACTTAGAAAAGTAATATTATAACTTATGTTAATTGTAATATGTTACCCCCAACATGGTTGGTATGTGGATTCATTGTTAAAACAACTGAGTTGCATAGGCTGTACACCGATATCTGTTTGGCTATTGGTTCTAGTTGTTGTTTTATTTTTATATACACACAAATTAAATATATATAAAAATCAGTGGAGTAAAGTAACAAACTACAAATACTCACAGTACTGTAATAGAGTAGTTTTTTGTCTCAGGAATTGTAATTTACTAAGTAGTTTTAAAAAAATGTGTACTTTTATTTTCACTTGAGTACATTTTTAATTGCAGTATTGGTACTTTTACTCCACTTTTTTCCTTCCAGCTGCAGTCACTACTTTATTTTTTCTTGTCTATGAGGATTAGAAAAATCAGTTCTGTGATTTCTGTCTAATCAAATCGTAACATAAATCGTAAAATCATAATGAACTACCTCAAGACATGGCCAATTTAAAATTGCAGCAAACAGTTTGGAAGCATTAAAAGTCCAAAGTCCAAAAAGAAAATGTCCAAAAATATTTACAAAATATATCAAATATTTACACACAATGACCCAGAGAATCACTGATGAGAAGATGACGGATGTTTATTGTTTTATGAACGAAATTGCCTTAAACACCCAGCAGGCACAAGACATCAACATGACATTAAATTGACAATGTGCCTCAACATCATGGGGACGTTGCATTTTGTTTGGAAATTAAAATTTTGTTGAAGTCAAAGTCAGGTTGATGTCAATGTCCAACACCCAACCTTAAATCAATCAAATATCAATGTCTAATGATGTTACAGCTTTACATTGTGTTGACGCTACCACCAAGATGTCTATTAGACTTAGGATTTTAGTTGCCATACCTAACAAATAAATGGCAGTATTTGACATCAATATGACGTCTGTTTAAGATGTTGTATTTTCATCACTTTTTAGCACAACCTAAAATCAACCAATTATCAACGTCATTTGACGTCATTATTGGACATTAAAATAATGTTGTCCTTATAGACGCTGACAAACTTTTTTTTTTTTTGTCACTTGATGTCACAACCTAAATCTAACCTAAAATAAATGTCTTATGCCATTGTGTGCCTGCTGAGCTATAACTAAATGCACTACAGAATGTCATGTTTACACACATTGTTGTGAAATCCACTCATAACCGTTCCTCGTTTGACCACCAGAGAGAGTTATCGCCTGAGTTCTAATTTCCCCAATGCTCGACTGGGACTGATTACATACAGCTGAAACCCATTTCAGACTCTCTATATAAATGCACACATCCTTCACTCGGTGCAAAGTTTTGATTAGCCCCGGCCATCATCTCTGAGCGTTACCCTGTTGTTATCTGTGTATCGACCTGGACTGTCTTACCGTTTCTGAAGGTGTCTGCCTGCCCTGACCACTGCGTAGTTATATTGATTCTATCTGCCAGCCGCCTGCCCCGAATCTCTGCCCGTCTCTCGTTAAAGATTACTCTCTCCTAACCTCGACCCACGCCTGCTCTTCGACTATTCGACTGTTTGTGAGTTTCCACCTGTTATATCTTACTGTTATTAAAGTGTGCAAATGGATCCAGAAATGTCTGATGAATCATTACTGAAAGCTTCGCCACAAGATGATCCAGCAACTCTACTACAGTTATCGTCCGAATTAACCACTCAGGGAGCCCAGTTAGCCCTTCATCGACAACAACTGGTACGACTGACCACTTTAACCGAGGAGCTTGTTCAAGCTCTACAACGGCTACATGTCGCACCTGTTAACCCCTCGACCGCTCCTTCTCCCCCTCCTCCGTCGCCTCTCAGTGTGCCCCTCGATCCCATGCCACAGCCTGCAGTAGATCCCAGATTGGCTTTCCCACATAAATTTGACGGCAATCCCTCCAAATGTAAGGGATTTTTACTTCAATGTTCATTATTTGTTGATCAACAACCGTTTCTTTACCCCACTGATTCCAGCCGAATCACCTTTGTATACGCTCTGCTTTCTGGAAAAGCCCTGGAATGGGCTACAGCTATATGGAAGCCGGAGGGTAACACTTTTATATCCTTTAAGGATTTCCTGACACAGTTTCGAGCAGTGTTTGAACACCCCGCCGATGGGAAGAGCCCCGGAGAGCAGCTGTTGACACTTGTTCAGGGAGGCGAACAGCAGCTGAGTATGCACTCGCCTTTCGTACATTGGCAGCCCAAACAACTGGGGTGAGGACCCTCTTAAGCTGTTTTTTCGTAAGGGATTATCTGCTGAATTACAGTCAGAACTGGCTTGTCGCGAAGAGGGCAAAACTCTTAGTGAATTGATTGAAATCACAATCCAACTGGATAATCTCATCAGAGCACGCTGTGTACCAAAGCTGCGACGCCTCCCTGATCTCGAACCGACGCAGAATGAACCCATGCAACTCAGTTACACTCAGTTAACTCCGGAGGAGTGCGAACGCAGATTGCAGAACCATCTCTGTCTATATTGCGGAGAATCTGGGCATCGACGCATTAATTGCACGGTCCGTCCAGCTCGATTGGTGAGTCTACCATCTTCTAACATATCAAGTTTAACTATTCGAGTAAGCATGTCTCAGGTGGATTGGGGTATTGATTGTACAGCCCTCATTGATTCAGGTGCCGCTGGTAATTTTATGTCATGGGAATTTGCTAGATGTCATAAGTTAACGTTGCTACCATGTGAATCTGTGCTTGCAGTGGAAGCGCTAGACGGACGTCCTATTGGAAATGGAAGGATCCAGCATGTCACGACATCCCTTAATTTACAAATCGGGGCGCTACATAAGGAAAGGATCAATTTCTATATAATTCAACCATCTAGACATCCTGTAATTCTCGGCTTACCCTGGCTGCGCCAGCACGACCCTCACATTTCCTGTTAGAAGGGGCAAATACTCCAGTGGGGCTCGACTTGTTTACATCAATGACTTGATGAGATCACTAAGCTTCCTGTCCAGACAATAAGTATACAGTCCCTTCAAGATCAAGAGTTTACCACATTACCAACAGTATATTCTAATTTGACCGAGATGTTCAGCCAGCAAAGCGCTACTCACTACCACCTCATCGCCCCTATGACTGTGCAATTGAGCTGCTGCCAGGTATGATACCCCCCAAGGGAAGAATATTTCCACTGTCTCAGCCCGAGTCAGAAGCCATGAACTCCTACATCCAGGAAGAACTAAAAAAAGGATTCATTCGCCTATCTACTTCACCGGCGGCGGCCGGTTTCTTTTTCGTTTAGAAAAAAGATGGTAATCTGCGTCCATGCATTGATTATCGTGGTCTCAATGAGATCACAGTCAAATATAAATATCCCCTTCCTCTGGTACCAGCAGCCCTAGAACAACTACGTCAGGCTAAAATCTATACCAAACTCGACTTGCGGAGTGCCTATAATCTAATACGGATAAAGCAGGGAGACGAGTGGAAGACCGGGTTTTCCACCACCAGGGGGCACTATGAATACACCGTGATGCCCTTCGAGCTGGCCAACAGTCCATCCGTCTTTCAGGCATTTATGAATGATGTCTTCCGTGACATGCTGGATCGGTGGGTAATCATCTATATAGACGACATTCTGATCTACTCTAATACTATGGAGGAACACATCCAACATGTAAGAGCAGTGTTACAGAGGCTTATTCACCATGACCTTTATGCAAAATTTGAAAAATGTGAGTTCCATCTGACAAGTGTCTTTCCTGGGCTACATTATCAGCACGGAAGGAGTTACCATGGATGAGAGAAAGGTAACTGCCGTACAGGAGTGGCCACTCCCCCAGACTTTAAAGCAGCTACAACGCTTCCTGGGCTTCGCAAACTTCTATAGAGGATTTATTAGAAACTTCAGTATCCTAGCGGCTCCCCTCACCTCAATGACTAAACGCAGTCACGCTAAGTTAATCTGACAACCCGAAGCTATACAGGCCTTCTCAGTGCTAAAGGAGAAATTCACCTCCGCGCCAGTGTTACATCATCCTAATCCCGAACTACCTTTTGTGGTGGAAGTAGATGCCTCCAACACAGGAGTAGGGGCGGTACTCTCTCAGCACCAGGACATCCCCGAGAAGATGTATCCATGCGCCTTCTTCTCAATCAAGTTGAACGTAACTATGACGTCGGTAACAGGGAACTCCTAGCTATCAAGCTTGCACTGGAGGAATGGCTACATTGGTCAGAGGCTACATTGGTTACCGTTTCTGAAGCTATCTGCCTGCCCTGACCACTGCGTAGTTATATTGATTCCATCTGCCAGCCGCCTGCCCCGAATCTCTGCCTGTCTCTCGTTAAAGATTACTCTCTCCTAACCTCGACCCACGCATGCTCTTCGACTATTCTACTGGAAAGTTCCCATTTAATCTTATGTTTTTGAGTTTCCACCTGTTATATCTTACTGTTATTAAAGTGTGCAAATGGATCCAGAAATGTCTGATGAATCATTACACACATCCCCAAATAACAAGTAAATGCATAAGCTTTTTAGAGCATAATACTCATTACTCCTGAGCACTTTTGTAAAGGTTACTTTTTACTCATACTTTGAGTAATATTCACAACAGATACTTTTACTCTTCTTGCACTACATTTTTAGGCAAGTAATGGTACTTTTACTTAAGTATGATTTTTCAGTACTCTTTACACCTCTAATAAAAATACAAATAGACATAAGAAGGATATGCCATTCATTATTCACCCAACAAGAACTGAAATAAATTCATGAAATAAACAAAGTTTATGAAATTGAAAAATGTGTATGGTACATAATGGTAGGATTTGTGGCAGGGCATGTCTTTAAAAAAAGTAAAAAAGTAAAAAAAAAAAAAAAAATAAGTGTGATGATTATTGACACATTCTAATACCCAAGCAAGTTTATAATTAATTAACATTGTTAATTTATATTAGGTTTATAATGGTTTAATTGTGTTATTTTAGGAGCAGCACATAGCAAATATTATTTAAAATTCATATTATTCTGTGAATTATGCAGTTGGTATGTTAATATTAATTTTAAAATAACTGAGTTGCATCTTATTTATTTATGCACTTATCCATTTATATAGAAGAAATGTGTTGCAGAGAAAGCCACGGATATTTACTTTTGAGCATTAAGGCTATAAATATTTTCTGCACAAAAACACATTTTTCTTTCTAAACTTAATTTCCTCTTTTTGTCCTATGTTTGTCTCCTGAATCAAAAGGTAAAGTTATAGCTGCAAGATGTTCAATTATACATGCATAGTGGTATTTATCTGAAAGACTAGTTGGGTAGCAAATATCAAGTTGGGGCCAGAAACACTGGGATAAACAGCTTTGGAAAATAAAGACTGGATCATGTGGCAATAATAAAGCTGCGGCAATGGTGTCAAAAATCATAAAGTCTGCTGTTTTGTCATGCAATGCCATGCACAATGTTGCATAAATGCTTCATAAAGCTGTCATGTTTGGTTAATGCATGTTTTACCGTCAACTGAACACACATATATAATTTATCACTGAGGTTATATCCATGCCAAGCATAGTGGAAGGAGAGAGATCAATGAGCCAGAATCAATCATCTGTAAAACAGTTTGAGCGGTTTATTTATTTATTTCAATTAATTATTTGTGATAATGACCTGTACTTAGCTGACTGTAATTTAGAACAGATAATACAGCAGGTTTAATGAATAATAGATAAATAATAGAGTAAATGAAATATTTTTGTAGAATTGTGCCAATTTCCCAAGCTTATCGAATAACTATAAAGCGATAACTTTCAAATTGTTTGCATTTTGCAGAATTAGTGACTTAAATAACCATTTTAGTTTGTGTGTGTGTAGAAAAGGAAAATAATCCATCCATAGACTGCTAATCTATCTATCTATCTATCTATCTATCTATTTGTTATTACTGTTATTGTCAAACAACGTTGTTCTGTTAGCTTCATCAAACATGCACCTTTTAGAGCCAAAAGGCAAAACTGTCAAGTTACTGGTCAATCCATGTTCCTATTCTCACATATCGTCATGAGCTTTGGGACGAGATCTCGGATACAAGCAGCCAAAATGAGTTTCCTTTGCAGGGTGGCAGGGCGCACCCTTATAGATAGGTGAGGAGCTCCGTCTCTCAGGAAGAGTAGAGCCGCTGCTTCTTCACATCAAGAGAAGTCAGCTGAGGTGGCCTGGGCCTACCTAGGGAAGTATTGCCACCAAGAGGAAGCCTCAGGGAAGACCCAGGACATGCTTGAGGGACTATGTCTATCGGATGGCATAGGAACGCCTCAGGAACCCCCAGAGGAGCTGGAGGAAGTGTCTGGGGAGAGAGAAGTCTGGGGTTCTCTCCTGAGACAGCTGCCCCTGCAACCCAGCACCCGAAAAAGTAGATGAAAATGAGTGAATGTAAATTATATAGTTCCTTTTTTATATTTTAATTCAGTTCACCAACCCTGTTTCTGTAGGCACACCAACAGTACACATTTTAATGTCTCCCTTATTGACCTATTCATTTCAGGTTTTGGAGTTTCTAATGTTCTGATGAGTTGATTCAGGTGTGTTTGATTCAGGTGTGTTTGAAAATGTGTACTGCTGATAAAATGTGTAGATGTCAAATGGATGTCAAGGTTTTTGCATCAAATAAAATTGCATTTTTTACTTGTTTTTATCTGCTGGGACATTACATACAAATATTTCATATAAACAATAAAACCACTCTATTTTCCACCAAAGACCTAAATAAATATTTGGTTTTGACTGATCAATTAAAATAAAGCATTACAAAGAGCTGCGTAATAATGTTATTTAATAGCCGTGCTCGCCTCATTTCAGGTCACTGATGAATCCTCATTAGTCAAAGCCATTCAAGTGCTTGTCTACTTGTCTTGATATAATTTGTCCTCAATTATACGGTATACGCTTTGAGCCAAATTCATCTGTTCATCTATGCTGTGCTGAGGCTAATCCTTTTCTGTCTTTGTGCCTTCAAAATGGCTTTTGCTAATTGATGAAAGCAAGCAAATTTTGCGGCCAAATTGTTTTCCTTGTTCAGGAAGCACCAGAGGCGATTTAAGCACAAACACTCAGTCCTCTGCAAACGCTTGATGCACCAGGAACATAATGTATATTTTTTTTGTGTTGTCTTTGGGATTCGGCTTCCTCAAAACTGTCAGCCCAGCTATGAAAGACCAAATCATCTCTCTTGGCTAGCGTCAAAGCAGAACATCCAGCATAAAAAAAAGAAAGAAGGAAAAAACAATAGAGCATGATTTACTCCCACAGCTCATTATATACAAAGATTTGTTCACAAACACAATAATTCACTTACATATAAATGTGAGACGGGGGTAAAACAAAGGCCACAGCTCTTACCATCGCAAATAAAAAAATCTTTAAAAAAGAGATTCTTTTTTTTCTGCCAAAGCCCAATCTTCCTATTAAAAACTACAGTGCACTTTAAGATTAATAGAACGAACGGCTCAAACTGATGTTTCTATTTATCAGATCTGACTTTACAATCTGCAGTCCATCTGAAAGCATTTCATTTTGTAAGTGTTTTCCTTAAGTTTGCTGTAAAGATTTGATGGGATTGCCATTTCATCGATCTTTTCTTGTTTGGCGTTTATTGTGCTTTCATTTTAATTTTTTTACAATGCTGAATTACTGCTCTCACTATTAAAAAGATTCAAAAAGCTTTCGGTCTTCTACAGAGGAGGTGAAATCTGTAATATCCTATGACAGGCTCGTTCTGTCATGGCTTTAAGGAATGGATGAGAGTGCAATGATGAAATGAGGAATAGAGGAAAGCCAAGGGCCTGCATGTGACACGTGAATTCTTGTTAAGGCGAATCTTAAATGCACGCGCAAAAGGGGAAAGTGAGTAGAAGAGAGACTGTTGGGAAATCAGTGAAGAAGAGGTTTATGAATAAGTGATGAGAGACAAGCAGAATCTCAGAATACAGTGTGTAATTTAGAGATGTTCGCAGCACATATAAATATACTGTATTGCTGACTGCCGACTTTGCCTAGTAAGACATGTTGCTGGAACAAGAATCTAGTCTTTTCTGCACAAGTTGACAAGATTTTTGAGCTTTTTATTTGAAGAAAGATTTTACCCCATCAGCTCTTTTCTGTGGAACAAAAAGTGTGAATAATTGGCTGTGTTTTTTTCTTTCTCTCTAAACAACAAGAGTTCATAGATCAGAGAGCAGACATTCAGTATGTGACAGATTACATTTAATTGAGTGGAGTAGATTATAAAGTAGGTACTTTCACTCAAAATTCACTCACTCATTTTCATTTAATTAACCTAGTGGTGTATAATATTGGATTAATATAAGTAATAGTGATTGAGTGTATGGGTAAGCTCACACAAAGTCTATCCGCACATAAATCTGTAGATTTTTAGCCTATCATTGAGTCTATTTATTAACTTGTGTAAATGTGTGTAAATTTATATTTATTAAGTTTTTTTATATATTATTTTAGTAATAGTACTAGCTAATATGTAAATGTTCTTTTTTTTTTTTTTTACAATGTTTGTAAAGTCATATTTTCTGTCTAAAAAAAAGTGGAACTAATTGAATTTGCATTCTAAACATTCAATATAAGTATAAAAGGTATTCTTTTTTATTTCATATATTAGGTTTTTAGTTAAGATAATCATTCCACAAAAATCCGCAGATTTTTTACAAAAAAATTTTCCACAGAATCTTCTTCACAGAAATAGCGAAAAATGTCCACATTTGGCCCAAGGTATGGGGAAAAATCAAATTTGGGTCCCAATGAGCACCGTAGTGTAATGCGTTGACGCTCTTACCACAAAGCTGTTGTTGATGACAAAAGCAAACTTTTTAGTACAATCTTAATTTTTTTTCTGATATTGATATCTGATATTTCAGATTTTTTTCACCGGATTCTGTTATTGAATTTGTTTCCTTTATATTAAACTAAAAACACACATAAAAAAATGAAAATATAGTTGTTTATCATGCGCTGCGGCAAATGCATTGGAAATGAAATTAGAAACAACCTCTGCACAGTAATTGTAATCCAAAAAAAAAGAGAGATCTGTAGGAGTGTTGGCCATGTTCCTTTAATAGAGTAATTCGTTATAGTTAGATACTTCTCACAAATAGTAACTGGGTTAGTAAAGTAGGTTACATACTGTAATTATAAAAGTAACTAATTACAAGGGAAAGTAATTATTGTGTTACTTTAAAAAAATAAATATAATTTGGTAAATAATTATAAATTAAATAAATAAACAAAAAACGTCTACACTAAGATTTTTGTGGGACAATATAAGAGACAATAATCGAATTCAACACATTAAAAATATTAGAACATAGTTTAAAGTATTCCTTATATTTACAGTTTGCAAAAGCTACCTTTGAACGTGTTAGAATTTCCATCGTTTTGACTCCTGGTCATTGGTGTGTGTGACTGACTCACT